TTTTGTGTTGTTCCTTATTTTTTTTTATGAAATAATCTTTAATTTATTTTCTCAAATTTATTTAAATAATATAAATAGTCTTTATATTTTTTGAAAATGTAAAGTAATTATTTATTTAATTTTTATATTTGTCTTTTATATAATTTAATAATTGAAATATTCTAAAATTAACAATTTTGTGTTGTTCCTTATTTTTTTATGAAATAATCTTTAATTTATTTTTTCAAATTTATTTAAATAATATAAATAATCTTTACATTTTTCGAAAATGTATTTAATTTGAAATTTTTTGTTTGTAAATATATTTTTCAAAATAATAATTATTTTATTTAAATATTTAATTTTTATAATTGCCTTTTTGTATAATTTAATAATTGAATACATAATATTGTTCAAAATTAACAATTTGTTTTGTTCATTTTATTAGTCTTTTTATGAAAATCTTTGATTTTTTTCAATTTATTTAAATAATATTTATATTCTTTAATTTTTTTGACAATACATTTAATTTGATTTGTTGTTTTTTGTAAATATATTTTTCAAATGTAATATTTGTGATTGTATGGTAGTTAGAGTTTGGTTCTCTTGATTTTGTGAGATTATGCTTTCTTTTGTTATCTCTTGTTCAATGCTATAACATTTGAATTTTTGTAGGATGGAGTATCATTTAGATGCAGAGTTGAGACGGATGGCGGGGAAAGCTACTTGAAATAGTAGCTTTGAGAGTTTTACTGCTGTGTTGGAGCTGCTCGATGATCAGCACGGAGATATGCTATGACAGTCCTTCTTGTGGCCACTGTACCAGTTGCGAGAGGTGCAGTACTCAGGACAGATCATTGATGCACTTCTATGTTGGCTTCTGAGGCCAGTCGACGGCGATTCCCTCCAGTTCGACCTCAGGGGCAAGGTCGTCAGTTTCTCGATGTTTGAGTTTACATTGATCACTGGACTGAGGATTACGGACGACGATGCAGCCATGGAGAGAAGCAATAGGCTATACGAGACGTACTTCCAGGTACATGGGTCAGTGCTTCTACCCGACTTGATGGTCGCGATCAGGGGGTGCGATCATATGCTAGATAGATTGAAGATTGGGCTGGTCTGCATCCTCGAGAGTGTGATGAGGTGTCATCACAAGAAGACTGTCATCGACATTTTTCATTTGCAAGTTGTTGACGACATCGATGCGTTCAACAACTATCCATGGGGTCGGAGATGCTATGAAGACACCGTACATGTGTTCACCAGATCGCACTCGAGGCCCAAGGATATATATATATAACATTTCAATTGTAAATTTAATTATTTTTGTAATTATGAAATAATTGTAAATTTGTGTTCAATGTATATAACATTCAAATTGGAAATTTAATTATTTTTTGTTATTTTACACGTATGCCGAGTATGGAACTATTTTTTTTCATATGAATCATTATAAATACCATTTATCAAGAATAAATATTGAACATTGAAGATTTATAATGAACAAATATTGAATAGTTTAAAGTAAAAGGAAATATTATTCATTTTACGTACCTGTCTAGTTGTCATTTAGGGAAATTTGACTAGTACAAAATTGTCGAGTATGCCCTACGGCTCTGTACCAGCCACACCTACGCGATCAAGGAAACTCTCCGGTAGATGGTATTCTAGATGTACTTGGACGTCCAGGACCACGCGATTCAACTGCTGGTGGTAACAAATTATGAAATGGGAGAATGTGCTCGGGAACTTCCCACTCGGCTTCATTCGGCAGAGGAAATATAGTCTCGGCATATGCTGTTCTCCAAGACTCAGTCGTATAATACAAAGAGTATAACGTTCTCACAGTAAATTCTCGATACATGGCCACCGCAACTGCATACTCACATGGAAAACTCTCCAACTGAAATCTCGTACAAGTGCATATGTTATCAGGCAAGTCCACCATATATGTCGTATTACGTGCACATTGCACGGAGAAGCGAAACTCATCTAGTGCTTCCACATTCAACTTCCTCGCAACCTCTGCCGCCTTAAACAGTTTCTCCTCATGAGTTGGGGCCAACACGCTAGTGCAACTTTGTGATGCCGCACGTCAGTCATGAAACCACTGTTGTAGCTTGTTACGAATGTTCTCAATCATTGCGAGAATTGATAACTCTCGATCCTTCTTAAACAATGCATTGAGAGATTCCGCGTTATTCGACGTCATCATGTTGTGTCGACGTCCTGGAGAGTATGACCGCGCCCAATGTTCGATCCCCATCTTCGTCAGATACTCCAACGCCGGTAATGATTTACTTCCTATCTCGAGCATGAACTTATTACACTCTTCAACACTATAAGCTTCGGCTACTCTCCTGAACAATGAAATGATGCCTGTGCCCCAATACCTAGTCTTCAAATTACCTTGTATATGGTACATGCAATTCCCGTGATGTGCTCCGGGAAAAACTTCAGCGATACCGTTTATTATAGACTGTCCCGATCGGTTACAAACGCAAGGTTTTCGACTTTCCCGATCACTTCCCTTAGTTTAGAAAAGAACCAACGCATGGACAGATCATTCTCGCTGTCGACTATGCCGAATGCGATAGGGTAAATTTGGATGTTGACATCTTGACATGTAGCAATAATTAACTTACCTTGATATTTAGCTTTCAGAGTTGTACCATCAACTAGAATTACGGGTCGCATTGCATTTCGAAAACCCCGAATACATTGTCCGAGAGCCATGAAGAAATACTTAAAACAATTATTGCCCCCTGTCTCAATAAAAAATGTCGTGTCAGGATTACCTCATGTTATGGCAATACCTAGCCAATTTAGCATAGCTCTCTCAGCCGATCCCATTAAATCTTCCAACGCACATTCTTTGGCCTTCCACTCTTTCTGATAGCTCATGACCACTCCATATTCTCAACAGACGTCGTTAATGAGGTCCGAAGGTCTGTAGATCGTCCGTGGATCTTGATACTTGTGCATTATCTGTCGACCAATAAACCATGCTCGAGCTTGCCTGTGATCGTTTCGAAGAATTCTCACTTCGCAAGTATGTTACCGTGAATATTTGCGAATTACGAAGCACTCATTCGTGTCCATCTTAGTTGCTCTCAAGCACCAATTGCAACTGTCAACAATGACTTGTTTGATTTCTTTACGTTGAACTCAAAGTTATATTTTAATGCTAGCCGGTGCACAGCTTCTTGCAAATCTTTCTTGGTTTCAAACAGTTGCTCGACCTGCAAGTCCTCATCATCGGGAGCCACACGGGAAGAATTGGAGGACGGTCCACTTGTTCCAACCTGTGAGCTCCCACTCGGCTTGTGTCTCTGTCGGGATAAAGCAATCAAATTCTCATTTGTAAACTTGTTTATATTATCATTGTCTTCAACTGTCGACAGAATACTGCGCGTAACAGCGACATCACGATCAGAAGCAACTGTCTCAGGAATACCCACATCATCCGCATGAACTATCTCCACTGTCTCCCAAAAACCTCGATCATTCTTATCCGCCCTATCTGAATCTTCGCGTTCACCTTCGATAACATCCTTCGTAATTAAAGTCACACCAAGAACAGTCGGAGTCCGATGCATTTTATTCAATTCTAATAGATAATTCAATTCAGCATCATTAGTAACGAATACTGGTGGCATCGGAATGGATGAATCTCCATAACCGTTGAATAGATATCTTAATTGCATATCGTATTGAGATTGATCGACATTCAGCTTATTTTTCAAATTGTGGTACATTTCTAAGTATGGTGTACTCTCTGTTATAGGAATTGCAATACAATCACGTAAGTCACTCGTCCATCTTCATTCCCACCGATTATTTTCATTCAATTCGAAATTACCGAAATAACAGACGGGGATTATCATATCTGCATGAGGAAATGATTTTAATCAATTTCATTTATTAATTATAAGAAAAAATCAGTGCCAACAAAAATCAGTGCAGAGTCGACTAATTGGCTGTTTAACAGTCGACTGTTGGCTGTTTAACAGCCGACTGTTTGGCTTAACAGCCAAACAGTCGGAAACAGTCCAACTGCTTGGCTGTTAACAGCCAAAACAGCCGACTGTTTGGCTGTTTTTGCGCAGGAGAATACGGTTCTAAAGAAAAATATTATACATCTGTTCAATTTTTTTTGATAGGTAAGATCTATTAAAAAAAATTTATGCTAACTACTATGTCGACATAAAATTTCTCTATTCAAACGTATACTAATTTACTGAAAACGAAATTAAACATGCGTAAATATACTTATCGATTTGAAGTAATTGATATGAAAAAAATTTCCAACTTCAACGTTTCAAAATTTTTCTAGATTTTGAGGTTCAAACAGATGAAAAAATGAGAGTTTTTCCTCTGTTGGAAGCTCGTTTTGAAGTTTTTATAAGTGAACAAGTGTTTGGTTTTCAATTATTAACTAAAAGGGTAGTATAGTCATTTTAACAATATATAATTTTGTAATTGTACAAAACATTTAAAGGCATCTTTGTCTTTTACCATACAAGAGGCCAATGTCATAATATTCATGATTTTGAAAGTCAAAGTGGAATTTAGGTCCTTCGACTGGGTCAAACTTAAAAGTACCCCCCATTTACAAGGTATAAAAACAGAGGAAAAATTAGTCTTAGTAGATAAAATTAAATATAAAATGTCACACGAAAAATTATTTCTCGACGATTGTGAGTGTCAACCTATTTCATTTTAAATGTGCATTAAATTTGCCTTTAAATTTCCACCTTTTTTGGTGGCCATTTCTTTTTAAATGGTTACAAAATGACCCTTGAAGCAAATGGAAATAAACAAATCTCAACATCGAAATCTTATCAATGGGCTATTTTGAGCCATTGGATGCGGACAAACCTGTGAGACTCATTCGGACCGATAAGTAAGCACGGCTGATAGCTCTAATGGCCTAACTCGATTAAACCGATGTTGATGGGTTTTGATTCCCCTTTTCTCGAAGTACGAGAAAGACAAGGCATGTTTGGAAAATGGAATACTCTTCACAATCAGAATTTTCTTTAAATTGACAATTTAATGATGAAAATACACAATTTGTTCTAACTGATGAATCAATAGGTCTTTCTTTTCTTCCCTGAAATATACATCCAAGAGCCAAACATCAACATTGAATTTAATCTGCTTGGATGAAGAATTCACCCGAAATATTGTTCACTACACTAAATTGCATATTCTCTGACGGTTTCCAATGCCTTTTCCTTTGGTTTATAAACCAGTTGTTAATTTGTTTCTGATCCAATCCCGTTAACTCCGCCAGTGCGATTTTATCAGCTTCCTAGACATACGAACACGAACCAAAAATCATGTTTGGTAATACATGATTAAGGAAGACTACATTCCAAGGTATCAAACGGCCTGACTTTTCATCGAAGTAATGAAGCATTGTAAAGAGCATGTAAAAGATCAAGTAATGCAAACAAGGAATAATTCGTTATCGCAACACGTCTATTATAGTTTATACGCTTTTTGTACAGGCCCCTTTTGACACGACCATTTCAATTTCAAGAATGCATATTATGGGCACGATCATCACATGATTCAATATTTCAACATTATATGGGCCTGCTACTCATTGAATGTATTGACATGATCATTCTATGATGTGTAGCGTCATGTTTGTTACCTTATATTGGGACACAACTTAACAAGGTAACAAACAATTTTACATTATTCGCCCCTTAATTGAGCCCAATTCATCACATGAAACATGTAATATAATGATAACGAATCATACTCATTTCATCGTAAAAGTTCGGTGAAGAAAATACTAACCGATGGATAAGGCCATTTGTAGTGAGCATTCCACCATTCAAGCAATAATTTCTTTGCTCCGTTTGGCAGTTTTCCTTTCTTCTGCTTCTTCGAAAATTCTTGCTTTAGGTTATTTATGTGGCTACCATATCTTGACATGAGTTTGTCTTTAAGTTCACGGTCATCACTCTTGATTTGTACATCTTGTACTTCCGTCACTCCGCTGAACTCCTCATCCGAAGACAAGACTCCATCATCTAGACGAAGAATAAAGGTGGGTTTTCGACTTGAGATCTAAAGACATACAATCTATGGTAACAGATAATTAAAGCAAATTTCTCAAATTAATCAAGATATTTCACGTATCAAAACTACAACACTTATGTTTGATATAGAATATTGGATGAAATGGGACGATACAATTGACAATATTGTAACTTGAGTTTTTCTTTGTATATTGGTCATTCACATAAACAAATATATTTTTGCTTTATTTATTTAGCCTTTGTTTGAACCATATTATTTTGAAAATACATTTTTCTCTCTCTTTCAAACCAAAAAATTTTTCTTTACAGAAAATCGTACATTTTCCATCAACTTACCATCCAAAACGCATTTTTTAATAAAATTGGGGTTCATACATACTCTTACTAATAAAATAATGGGTCAGCAATTTCTTAGTCAAATAAAGATAGCTGGAGCAGAAGGTAGGGCTCAAAAATTTGGGGGTACCCACACAATGTCAGATATGGAGCACCATAAAGCCTATCACCTTATCTCATGGAATCCAAATCAAACCGTTCAAAATTCAAATTAGGTCAGATCGACGTGCACCAAAAAGAAAATAACATGACATTAAAACGATTTTTCTAAAAATAAATAATTAGTGAAATATCAAGAACTAATCTTCGCAGAAAACTCAAAATCACCAGTGATCAATCAAGGTAGGGGTGAATTTTTTTTATTTTTTTTAGTGATAATTACAATTTAATTCGATATATAATAGTCATTTTCTTTTTAAAAAAATATTTAGCCCATGTTTGAGCCTCATTCTTTTACATTCTTTCTTATTATTTTTTCTATAATATTCATTTTCAATCACACATTCTTCATTAAAATAATATTACGCGTAAATTAAAAACTTTTTCTTCTTTTTGAACCACACATTCTTCATCAATCACTATTCCATAATACATTACTTCAAATTAATGGGGCTCAAACATGGCCTTAACTACATGAATATTGGGTCGTGAATATAGAGAATATGAGTCGAAGATAACAAGGTGAACAAATGTTACACATTATATCCTATTACAACAACAATTAAACATGCACTAATCTTATAAAATTATTATTTATAGCTATAGCTTAAATTAAGAGCCATACAAAATAATTTAATTTAGCTTCACTTGTTTTTTGGACCTACATGAAATCCAACGCGAGATCCATGAAATGGAAAAAATTGTGAATAGGATTTGACGAGAAGCTCTTTGTTTCTGACAGTACAGTGTGTGCTCGTGTGTGTAATTCAAAGGACTGACCGGCAGCGTAAACCCCGGGCGTCCATGTGTTTTCCTACACCCTCCCTATATGGGCTTCCCACAATAAAGCTAGGCTTACCCTACCATTACCAACATCTTTTATATCGATGTCTATTCTTCACCTAGTTTAGTATTATTAAAATTCTACCAATTAAGTTATTTGTACAGATGATGACGTAGCATGCGTTTTGGCCCCTTAATGTGATTTGAATGTCAAAATGTCAAAATACATGTCACCTCTCATCTGTCAAACATTTTGTAAAACTAACAGTACATGTAGCATAACTAAAATTCTAAACTCCAATGACTCTATTTGGTCGAACCCCAATCACTAACGACTGAACGAAGTAAGATGGAATCAACAAGGGTAGAATGAAAGATAGTTCATTCATCATAAGGACAATCGTTAAAGGAAAAAAAGGTGTACAATCAATTGAGATTATTGATGCCAAGGTTAACTTAAAGAAAGAAGTTGAAGTGTGAGTCAAATTGTGCCCATTTCAAAAAACAAAAGAGGTAAGACCCACAATTTGTATCATTTAATGATTTAGTACATTTAGCATATTGTTTGAATGCTTGAATTAAAATTTAAGTGATTATGAGTTATGACTCTTACGAAATACAAATATAATAAGGAAGTATTAGTTGTAAATTTACGAAATGTATAGATTAAAAGTATCTTTGACACACTTATATTATAATTTAAATTTTGCTCCATATGCACATTACAAAGGTTAAAAGAAAAATATTGTATTCCTTAGCGTACCTTCGTCAAGAACAAAAATCATTCTTTTCGCTTGTGTTGAAACACAAAAACAATGTGCAAAAAAGAATATGTGATGTGTAAATTGACATCGAGATAAAGGTATAGAAAACAAGAAGACCAAGCCATCGTGAAGACAGCATTACATTTGATGCATACTATGAACACGCACGTGAAATTGTGCTAATACAACATTCAGGTGGATACCCATATCTTAAAAGAAACTGAATTAATTAGGTACACATTCATGTATAAATTAAGAATAAAAAGAGATCAGATAAAAGTTAATCTGTACTTTCAAACAGTTAAAGAACTAATCATATGCCTTAAATCAATCCCTTTTTATCTTAATCATGTATTTTAGTCGACAGCATATAAACATTCAACTTCAAAGCCTGTTACCAGATATCTAAATTAATGCTAATTGCACCAAGTTGATACTGTGTAAATTAAGATAAGATCAGCAGCTTTTCTGCATAAAATAATCTAACTTTGAGTTAATTTTGTAGATTTATAAATGATTTACAGGTTGAGTTGAGCAAACATTTGTACTGTGCACACTCGTGATGTACAGAGTTTACTCATTAATTAATAGCATAAAGATTTCCAGTTTCACTACACATCTTGCTTGACGTTTCATAATATGGCATACAATTTTGCCATTGATTTAAAAAATACTTAACACAATCAATGGCCTCAAAATTTACACATCATGATATGTCAACCATAATGTATAAATAGAATGTACAAGTAGCTTAATTTAAAGATTTCGAGGCTAAGAATGCCTAAAAGTGATGTGTCACTCAAGATGGAGCCCAAAACGTAAATAACGGTGATACTTGATTGCGGAATTTACGTAGAATTTAGGTAGAATCATTTTATCTAAAAGTTTAAATTATTCAAAAGTGACAAATAATTTATTTAATTTCTTTTCCGACAAAAGAAGAAACTGGATTCCAAGAAGCAAATAAAAAGATGGCAGAAACAGTATGAATCAGATGGACTGTTTTCCCTTGGTAACTAGAGGATTAGACACTTCCCAATGTTTATTTCCCATCTTTAGTTCACGCTTGAGGCCAACACATAATCTGTTGGAACTTGAAAACTTTTTAAAAGCAAGCAGGCAAGCATGATAGACGTATATTTTAAGTTGGATAATAACATAAATCGTACCATTGCAAGTAATGGAACATGTTGAAGACAGGATTCAGATAAAATCGACTGAAGTCTCCTCCCAACTCAACAAAGACTAATGGCAACCTTGTGAATGATTCTTCTAAGCAAAACATCCAAGAGAGAACTAACTATCTAAATAATGGAACACCCTAAAAATCCAATTATCCAAATCTTAAGGTGATGTAAAGTTAACAAGTAATAAATTGAGAAAGTTAAAAGGGAAAGGACTGTTACTGTTTGAAGAACCAGAGAAACTACTGTATTGTCATGGTCTTCCCTCTGATACGTCTAATCAGAATCTCTACTTATAAATGCCTTCATTTAAATACTACAGTAAGGTATGCTAGAGTTTTTTGCACAAACAGAAAAGAGAGATCACATGTAACATTTAAAAGACGATCTGAACCACACACATATGTAAGAGTAAAACCAGTTTTCTTTGAGTTTTAGGGTTTCTGTAAGGTATAAAATCTTGAGAGACACACCTTTGCAAAGATTGCCCAGTTGAGTTTCAATCTTATTGAGGAACGACGTTGCTTCGTCAAAAGGCCTTGACAGATCTGATTTGTACTTCACCAGTATGTCATAGTATGTCTCCTATAGATAGAGAGAGGGAAAAATAAAAAATAAAAATTTAATGAACTTTTTAGCTGAGACAAACAGGCGGATTAATACAGTGATAAATTAGTAAAGGGATTCGAATTTCAATGTGCAGTCACGAGATAATTATAAGGAAAATTTTCGAGATTTTAGTTTCAACTCTTCTGTCTTCACCCATAAGTCTTTGTAGACTCGTGTCTGTGTATGAGAGGAAGAGAGGAAGGAAGGAAGACCATGAAGTCGTCGAGCTCAGGATCGACTCCTAAGCAAACGGAAAGTTCATCTTGCTTACGAAACTCATATCCTCGCCTGATTTCATCTAGCAAAGATGTTATTTCTGGGGGTGCTCCGACCTGAAAATTGAAGAAATTACTCAAGAGAAATTCATATGAATTTGTACAAGAAAAGTAACAATTTGCTAGTAAAATCTAAAGTCAGTTGCCAATTTCAAGAATTATCTGATTTCTTTCCCGTGAGTAGCAAAACCCTACCTTTTTTTTTTTTTTTTTTTCCTTTTTTTAAAAATTTCCGAGGGTATATTACTCAAACTCAAGATTAGTTTCAAGCGTCGCTATCACTTATTTATTAAAAAAAAGAGTGTCAATCTTTTGATCGTGAAATGAATTAGGTCTGCAAGTGATAAGACTTATCGGTGAAGTCTATAACTTTCGATCAGTCTGAACCTTTTGGCAGTCGAGATAAGCATCGAGCAATTTTGGGTATGAAGGATGAGAAGCAATTTTTGCCTTGATCAAACTGGAAGCCTGTCCATGTTCATCTTCTGGTTTAACATTTTCTGTTTGTGGATGGATAGACTCCACTTCTGTTGCCACTGAACCCCGAAATCCAATATCGTCCGACAATCCCGATATAGGATACTGATGGTGATCGCCGGACGAAATCAGGGCATGGTAGTCGTTGTGGTACTCTGCCGGAATAATCAGATTCTCCGGTGACATCAAGGCCTTATCCAAGTAATCACTTGTTGAATAAAGTCCATACATTTCATCCATATGTATAATCTTGTACAATCACAGAAGTATATATAATCAAACAACCAGTTCTTTTTATGGATTAAATGACTAATCATGCACCATCAACTATCAGAAGTAATTAAAAAACCAGAGCAACGCACGTCTACTTGCTGTTACAGGATTTCACTGTAACGAAGAAGAAGAAATTACGGATATTTCAATTTTGGATTCTGAATGGAGGAGACAGAGTTTTTAGGGGTGTGATTGTTTTTTGAGAAGAAAACAAGAAAAGAGATGCTCAAGCTGCGGCTCAAGTGCAGAAGTTGAGTGAGGGGGAGGCCCTGTCTCCATTATTAATTCATCGACAAGTTTCAGTATATTACAACTAAATTTTTCCCAATTGCCTTTTTCCCCCTTTGCTTTTAATGTCCAATTGCAATTTACAAGCATTAAAATGAATTGAACCGACATTAAACATCTTCCAAGTTCCAATCTCACAGCTAAGTTGGAAGATATTACTCTTATTTATCCCTTGTTTGAGTCTCGTTTTGAGATAAAGAATGCATTTTTAAATAGTGATTGATGGAGAATGTGTGATTTAAAATTAAGGAAATATTTTAAATTCACGTATAATATTATTTTATTAAAGAATGTGTGGTTAAAAATGAATTTTAAAAAGATAAATTTTTAAAAGAATGATGCTCGAACAAGGGTTTAGAGGTGTAAAATTGGTATGAATAGGCCGCGCTGAGCTTTCCACGTTGAAATGAAAAGGTGTTAGGCTGGTGTCGAATTCCAATTTTGACAGATAGGGTAACAAGGTGCCTCGAGGGACTTTTACAGTCCAAAATCAAGACTAAGAATTTTTTATGAACATGTAAAAAATTATTACTCTTTTGACACAAAAAAATGAACTTCCTACACCCGTTTCTTTTGTCGAAGATAAGGAAGATGAATACCCAGTTAATTATTGACACGTCATTATAAATTAACATGTCATCTATTTTAATTTTCCAATCTTAGCAACTATTTAACATCGTTAACTACTTTCTCTATCTTACAAAATCTCAATTTTACCCTCACCGTTAACACACCACTCTCTTTACAATAGAACTCTTCACCTTGTTTATGTTTCACTGCAATTCAGAAAAACTGCACATTCCAAAATCTTTAGAAGAAAAAAGGGCAATCAAGTTTCAAAATTCCATTTTTACTTGTCCTAAATCTGCATAAGGTATCCATTTCCTATGAATATTCCTTTGGTTAGTGCTTGTTCACTAGGCAAAAATACGTGTATATATTTGTATAATTCGTTTTAGTTTATGGAAGGTTCGAGCAAGAATGGATTAAATTAGGATGTGAAATACACAGAACCATTGATTAAATTGTGTCTTATAATTCCTAGCATTTAATACGGCTACCAAATTTATTTAATATCTGTCTCTGTGGGGAAAAAAAAAAAAAGGTTGAACCCCAACCTTGAGGGCAGAGTTTTGTGAAGAAGGTAAATCGCGGAATGTGCCCCAACAGGTCAAGGAATAAGAGCTGCCTGAATTAAATTGTGAAATGTCTAAGAAAACTATTATCTCATATCTCTAGATAGAATTTTCCAATTTAGAAGTTTATTCTAATTTAGAATTTTTTTATTTTTATTTTTTTTATTTTTTTTTGCTGAAAATTAAAATTTAGTAGCTTTGCTTGTCATTTTTTATTATGGGCATTTGTTTGTATTTGTAATACTTTTCACGAAATCTTAATGTGCAATATGAATATTATTGAATTTTAATTTGTTTAACTATAAAAGAAGTATTTGATTCTCGACAAGGAGTGTATTGAGCGGAGGGAGAAGTGTACCAACACCTAAGGCTAGTGGTGAGACTTGGGTGAATGTGTTGAATGAACTTCAAAAAAGTGCACTTTCGCCCCCGCCTCACAATTTCTTTGATTTATGGGATTGATGCAATTCGCGGCCACGAACTTAAAAAAAATAAAAATAAAAATAAAAGAAGGTAAGTTTAGAAGAATAATTAAATAAAAAGACATTATATATTTCAAAAAATTAAAATTAAAAAGGCATTAGTAGTTCACGTTGCATTATTTTGGAATTGTAAAGAAAGTGGTGGGTTAGTAGTGACGTTAATAAGGGTAAAGTAGAGAGGGAGGGAGGGAATTGTTAACGGTGTTAAATATCTATTAAGATTGAAAAATTAAAATAAATAACATGTTAATTTAAAATGACGTGTTAATATTTAATTCGGTGGACATCAAATCTCAACTCGCCCGGAGGTTAGCTTTTTGTGGTGACGAGCACATTATTTTGTTTATAAAAGGTGAAACTCGAGGATTTGAGCAAATCGCTTACTTTGTAATTAGTACTTGATATCTAGGCAACTTGATGTTGCTATTTTTTTTTATTTTTTTTATTTTTTGGTTGAGTAATGTTGTGTAGTCTCACAAGAGTCGCAGTCGCAGTTTAAGTGGTATTAGATAATAGATTAAATGAAATATGAAATTAAATAAATTATTTAATTTTATCTATCAATTAATGTCATATTAGGACAACCTAAATTGGAATTGTAATTCCAGTGAGACTAAATAACATTATTCTTTTTTGTTTGATACTCAAACTCTATTTCGGTAGTGTAAATGCATATCATTCAATTTAAATTTATAATAACCTTTTCTGCACAATCCATTTCATCACCCTCAAATTGTGTTCTAATAACAATAATAATAATAATAGTTTGGGCGTGCATGATTGATTTTTGAAAGTAGAGTTGCAATCATATTTTGATAAAAAGAAGACTTTGGACTTATTCTACGAACCTTACAAAATGGAGTAATGTTATTTATAGTAAAAACTACTGATAATCGTTCTACGTTATATGTATGTGACATTTATACATCAAATAACAAACATCGCATGTATGTCACGTATGCGACTATTGATAATCCTCACTATAAATAGTATTATTTCAAGTTATCTTGACTATTAGTGACTCTGATAGCATCACAAATATCGTACTTTTGTCCAAAATCCTTAAAATTACTTCATTCTACAAGCAACAATTTTATGTTTACCTCTTTTTATATATAGTTCTATAAATATACTTCGATTTCATTTAAAGACAATATTTCAATTTTTTATTAAAAAACTAACATTTTTTATGAATTAGGGTACATATATGTTATAGCGCTACTTGGAGGATAAGGTTAAACTATTTCAATTTTTTGAAGAAAAATACCATTGTAGGGTAGTATATAAGTTTGTGTATATTATTTTTTTATTAATAAATCAACGTTTTACATGAGTAACATGTTACTATATATATATAAACTCACATTTAACGAGGTTATGCTACTCTTAGTTTTTTTATTAACCACCATCCACAAAACACTATCATCCTGAAAATCATTACCTTTAGCAGCTCCGCCTTATTCGTTGACGTCGTAATTACAAAATACAATCTTCACTCTTTTTATAAAATTTTTTTTAATGAAATACATTCTTTTATTTAACTTTAGAAATCAATTCTTCATTAAGAATAAGATTTTTACGCCCTACATATTCGGGTAACATACCTGTTACTGCATTACTCTGTTACTTCTACAATTTACATTAAAATATTTCAATTGTTAATCAAAAACATCATGTTACAGAGACGTTGTTTAATTGTACAATAGTATATGTGTTCACTCTGTTTATTTTTTATTTACGGAGTAACATATATGCTACTTAAAATAACATCGTGTGTTACTAGTTCTACCCAAATTGAAATCAAATTACCAAACCTAATGAAACAGTCAACCCAACCAACCACTCTCCACTAGGAACAATTTTCATCATCACCACCAACAAAGGCCGCCATAAGATAATACCATCAAGTCAACCACATATAGTAAAATTAGCCATCACATGTTACTTTTATTTAAAAAATAAAAAGATAAAAAGAAAATCATTGTTTTACATGGATATATGGATGGCAATTGGGATTGCCGGCTCGGTCCCCCCGTAGCTTGACCAGAAAAAAATCGAGACAATCCATGTGGCTTGTCGACTCTGGCTCACGGGCCTTTAAATTTAAAAAAAAAATGAAAAATGAAAAACCAGTTAAAGGGCAGCGTGTTGTCACGGGCCTAGTTTCGTTACACCCGAACAAACTAGAATCGTGCGGCCTTAACGTTCTACAATTCCCGCGCCTCACGAGAAAACGTTAAATCAGCCTTTCCACGCCCATAAATAATTTAACCAAGGAGGCTAAATTATACCCACATTGAGAAGAAAATTTTGAAGTAAGTAATATATGGAAAACAAGTAAAGATGGGGAAACTTTCTTTGTATAAATGAAAGAAAAAACTTTACAATCTCTCTAAAGAATAAACTCACTCAACTCTACATTCTCTACCATCAACTACATACCATTTACAAATGAGACTACCTCTCTATTTATAGGCAAACTTAAACCTCCTTAACATCCACTTTACAACTTATGCTTAGTTGTCGCCACCTCGTGCTTAGTTGTCGCCAACTTATTCTTAGTTGTCTTCAAGTGGATTGTCTTACAACTTGCCTTGCAAGTTGTCACCAACTCGTGCCAACTCGCGCTTTGGTTGTATACAACTCGCGTTTAGCTTGCAAGTGGTACACAAGTGGACAAGTTGTGCAAGTTGCCCACTTGCATCCTCAAAATATCCGACTGCAGGTTCATGTATTTTACCTCCCAAAATGGCAGGATCGGGACTTAGAAAAACCTCATTAATGTCCTGGAAAACTGCATAATTTAGGCAGCCTGCATTCTGCCCCAAAACAATCTACTTGCGTCCCCAACTTGAGTCTGCCTGCATCTTTTGCCGAATCTGCCTGCGTCCCCTATCGCAAGCTGTTCCGTCCTTCTGAAACGCGTTACCCGCATTGTCTTGCGATCGCTACTGGGACAAATCGGTCGCGACCGTGTGAGGCATAAGTCACTCCCCTACTGAATTTGGCGACGCCTTCATCGCCATATACCGCCGAAATATAGACCTTATTTCCCATAAGTCTATCTTATTTTCCCACTTGGTGCCATAACATTCCCGTGTCATGCTAAGTCTCAAGTCATGATCTTCCGATCCGTGACAGTGTGCTACCTAAGATAGGCAGCCACTTGCCTTATAAAAATGGCAGCAAGCTGCCTTTCTCAAGGCAACATGAAGAAAGACAGAGACAGAGAGAGAAAATAGCGGGTTCGGCTCTGCCCAATGAGGCCCGAGCCTAAATTTCTTGATCAGGCAAAGCTCAACTTGGCTCGGGCTCGCAAAAAAGCTTGGAC